GAGGGCAAGAAGGGCGAGGATTGAAAGAAGTCCATTAGACTTGGCAGTTTATTAATTAGATCATGAGTAACTCTGGATAGAGCAGTTTGTTCGGTTGAATGATGAGGTCAGAAGCCAGATAGTGAGAGGAGAGGAAGAGGAGGCACTTAGTGTAAATGGCTTCCTTGAGGAGTTTAGCCATGAAAGGGAGGAGAGATAATCTTCACTTGGGCTCTTAACAAGTATAACCTATTAACTATTTAAAATCCTGGATGCCCATCTTTTACGTGATTCTGGCATGGATAGATGATTTATGGTACCTTTGTGCCAAAGGACACTTAACCTATTTTATGTATCATTCATTCATTCATTCAACAAACAGAGCAAGTTAAACAGTTTGCATTTTTAAGGGGGAAAAATTTGGACTGAAAATTAATAGGATCACAGGTTTGGAGCTGGAAGAAATCTTAGTAATCATTGAATCGAGTATCCTCATTTTGCAGGTGAAGAAACAGACTGAGATTCAGTGACTTGCCACATTCCCATAACTTGCAAGTATCTCACGCATGATTCGAATACAGTTCATCCGGACTCCGATTTCATTATTGTCCACTATGACATGCTGACTTGTATTAGACTTCTCAGCAGAAAGATTAGTTAACTCCATGGCATGATTATCAATTATTAAATAACCTAGGTCTGAGTAGTTGTTCACACCCTAATTTGAGGGTCTCACACTGAGATATTGGTGTAACAGGTTTAATTGTCTATTGACATTTTGACGATGAACTAGGATAACCAACCAGTGTCTAAACATGGTAACTTCTCTTAGTGAGTTGGAATTTTCTGACCCATTATTCTGACTGTCAGTATTGTTGGTTTAGCAGAATTCTGAGATATTGGACTTCATTAATAATAAGTTATTTGATGATATAGTAGTAGTATCATCCATTTTATAGATAAATATTCTAAGACATCAAATGACTTCCCTATGGTTGCACAGTGAGTACTTATTGGAGCTAGGATAGGAACTGAGGTCTTCTAATTGCAGAAAAGTCTAGTATCCTTTTTCCATTATATCATGTTGACTTTCATTTTACAAAATACATTTTCACTTTGCCTGAATTTCTCAGAGGATTCCTTTATAAAATAGCAAGTTCTGGTAGAGCTTTTAAACATAATTCTTTTTATAGTCAACTTTTTTTGGTAATTCAATAAGTATGGAGCATAGTAGATTAGAGTTTATAAGACCTAGGTTCAGAACTCACTCTTTCTTTCCTTCCTCCTTCCCTCTCCATCCCCCAGCAATGTATTGAGCCATTTGTGGCTGCCTTTTGGATCTAGCCATACAACCAGTTCTAAATCTGCCTAACTTTACTATTAATCTAGCCCACATCTTTCCCTCTTGTCTGTAGAACAGCACGAAAGATTTTGTCATATATTTTGTTAAATCCAGGTAGACTGTATCTATGATATTCTCCTGTCAAAAAATGAGGTTAGACTTGAGTGGTGTGTTCTTTATGAAGTTCTGCTTGCTCTTTATGAGCATGGCTTCCTCTTCCAAATGTTCACTCACTGTCTTTTTCATAATCCATTCCAGATTTTGGCCAGGAATTTAAATCAAACTTACTGAACTATGTAGTCTGCAGACTCCATTCTTTTTTTCAAAATTGGGGAAATGTTTGCCATTTCTAATACTGTGGAAAGAAAAAGTGCCCCATTATGGAGTTCATCTGGGCCTTTTGACTTAAATTCATCAAGGATAGCTGGATGCTTTCTGTCCTGTTTATCTTGAATATTAATTCCATGCTAATCATTTTTATTCTCTCTTTTCCAGGTCAAAGAGCATTCTTTTTGATAGAGAAAACAGAAGCAAAATAAGAGTTGAGCAGCTTTGTTTTATTTCTTTTATCATTTCATCTATCCCAAGATAGGGTCTTGTACTCTAACACATTTTAAAAGAATTCCTTTTTACTGTCTTTATCTTTCCTTGCCAACCTCAGTTGATCTAAAAGCTTTAGCGTTCTTTGCACTATACTCAAAGGATTATGTCATACTCTATGTCTTATTTTCCATTACCTGTTTTTTTGTTTTTTGGGGGTTTTTTTGGTAAGGGCAAATGGGGTTAAGTGATTTGCCCAGAGTCACATAGCTAGTGAGTGTTATGTGTCTGAGGCAGGATTTGAACTCAGGTTCTCCTGACTCCAGGGCTAGTGCTTTATTCACTGTGCCACCTAGTTGCCCCCCTTACCTGTTCTTGCTGCCATCTTTTATATATGTCTTGTTAAGATATGGCTGATAGATGAGTTCCCTGTACAGCTTTTCTTCCTCATCAAAATTGTTACGTTGGCTTCTTCGGAATTTCTTTCCCAAGAATTTCTTGTCCCTTCCGGTCTGACTTGCCTGTAGAATTAGCCCATAAGCTTCTTTTAAAAATTTTAATAAGCATTTATTATCACTCCCTTTCACTTCTCCCTCAGTTGAACAATTTTAAGAAATGAAAAATAAAACCTCATAACAAATATGCATAGTCCAGCAAAAACAATTTCCCACATTGGCCATATCAAAAAATGCATGTCTCTCATTCTGTATTTTTCAGTCCTCTAGATTGATGATTTATCATTGCACTAATCAGAGTTCTTAAGTCTTTCAAAGTTACTTTTCTGTATAAATAGCCATATCATATGCAACAGAATATATTATACATCTATGTATAGAATATGTTGTTATAAACATTCATGTGTTGTCATAAACAACATATTGTTAGGTTGTGTTTTCTAATCCATACTGATACCATGTTCCCTTTAATGAGGGAGTTCATAATATGACTGTTAATTGTGTATTTCCCTCTCTCCTCTGTTCTTGTACTTTTTCCTTTCTTTGTTCCAGCTTTCCACTTTCTAAATAAAAAGGTGGTAAAAGAGGAAGAGTTTGTCTGACAATTGTGATTTGTCAGTGAAAATGGCTTATTTCTTCTCTGTTGTGCCTCTTTTCTTCCCATTGCCTGGTCCCTTATTCCTGGTTTTTATTCTCCTTGATCCTTCCACCATGATTAAATACTCCCTATTTCATGTGCTTATATTATACAGTAATGATTTCTTTCTCCTTTTTCCTCCTTCCCCAGTATAATCTTCTGTCCCTCCCATTTTTGTCTTTTACTGAGGCCATCAAAACAGAACAAAACCACCCATAGGCCATCTTGACCTTTCTCTATGGCCCTTAAAGTTATTAGTATTGGAAGAATGCATTTGTTTCTTACCTCTCCACTACCCCACCATTAGCATGTAAACAATTCTTCCCTATATACTCCCTTCCATTTAAACAAATATATATACTTTTCTGTGTTTCTCTTTGCTCCTACATTTCCATTTCACAATATCTACTCAATTATGGCTATTTCATGAGGAATGTTTAGAAATTATCTATTTCCTTAATGGTCCATTTTTCCCCCCCTGTAAGATTATACTTCATTTTTTTATATTTTCTAAGCTCTTATCTTTTGCATTTTGGAATACTATATTCCAGAGTCTCTTCTTCCTTATAATAAGTGACAAGTGTCAAATCTTATATGATCCTAACTTGAGCTCTTGCCTTTTTTTTTTGTTAAGGCCATTGGGGTTAAGTGACTTGCTCAGGGTCACACAGCTAGTAAGTGTCAAGTGTTTGGTCTGAGGTCGGATTTGAACTCAGGTCCTCCTGATTCCAGAGCTGATGCTCTAACCATTGTACCACCTAGCTGCCCCCAAGCTTTTTTTTTTTTAACGGTTATGCTTTTTAGATAGTCTAATTTTAGATCATCTCTCCTTGACCTGTTTTCCAGGTTTTTGTTATTATATTTCTTATATTTTCTTCTGTTTTTCAATCTTTTCATTTTGTTTTAATGTTTCTTATTGTCTCATATAGTCATTTTCCCTTTGGCCCTATTCTGATTTTCATTGCATTCAATTTTGGGGTAAGGTTTTCCAATATCTGATCTAAAGTATCAGTTCTGTTTGCCTTATTTCCTCCCTAGCTCTTCTATTTTATACCTTGTTTCATTTTTTCCAGGTACACTTGTAGTTCTTGTAGCCAGATTCTCTCTATTTGTTGTGGGAGTGCTTTATTTTTCAGGGTTTACCTTCTGCGCAGTTCTTAGTCCAAGGTATTTCCTTGTAGTATTTGGTGTTTTCCTTGGTTTGCTTGTTTCAGCAAATTCTAGGTTGGGAGCCTATGCTTGGGTAATGAATGCACTGCTGCTTTACTCCTGAATGGTCTGGGCAGACCCTGCCTAGTCCTAAGTGTGTTGACCAGGACTAGGCTCCTTCTTCTAGGGCCTCTGTGGCTCCTGTAGAGTTGGGTTTTGCCAGGGGTGCCAGAGCTGACCCCTAAGTTAGGCTCTGCCAGATGCCTTTCTCCCTGCTGTTGGACTCTGGGCTCCTGTCATGGGATTTCACATTCTTTCTGGGCTTGTCTTTTCCCTAGAGCCCTTCTACCCCAGGCTGGGGCCACCCTGATGGTCTTGGGGCTAAGCTGGCACAGTATGCTGATTTCAATGTTCCTATAGGATTCTAGTAGGTGAATGCATCCTTGGACTCTATTGGAAGAGTCTTCGCGTGATTCTCATTAATTCTTTAAAAAAGTGTTCATTTTTATGCTTTGTTGCATGGTCAAAAGTGGAGAGTGTAGGCTGTCATTTATAGGTTACATTTATGGAAATCGGACCACCCTTGTAGTTCAGTGAGTCTAAGTGTCTTTGGTGACGCAGCCAAATCAAATTCAACATTAACCTAGCTCTTAAGTTCTTAGAACTTTTGATATTTTTTACTGTGATTTAAACAATCCTCTCAGTTTGGTACCTGCTTAACAAGAGCTCGTCCTGTTCATTTAAATTGCTCAGATTAGGCACAGAGAGAGCAGCATGTAAGCCCATGTAACTGAAAGCAGCCTGGGAGGACTGGTCCCACCAATGCTTCTGCCATCTTTTAGGGATCATAATATGTACATAAAAAAACCCTGAAATTTTGTTCTGTCTACTTTTTCAGGTTCTTACCCGGCAGAAGACAATGTTCCTTGGTGGGAACTCTATATCTATGATTGATTACCTAATCTGGCCCTGGTTTGAACGGTTGGAATCATTTGAGATAGCTGAGTAAGTTATCTGACTGCTTTTTGTGGTAAACTTCCTGATAAATATAGCCTAATTATTGTTGGAATAGTGTATTTTTGTGGGCTGTGATAGTCATCTGTTTTTGAAATAACTTTATAACAAAGTTTAAGAACAAAACTCAACATAATTTCAAAGCTGTTTACCATAAAAATAACATTTGTCATTCCTTTATTAAGCCCCTCCAGTTTGTTCAATTATCCATTCAAGTATACATAAGAACCAACTTTAAAAATAAGATACTGCTGTATTAAATATAAGTGAATTGTTCTGCCACTTACCAAAGGCCAAGATATACCCAGATTTCTGCTTTACTCTTGAATGTGTTCTTGTAGGTCCAATTATCTTTTGATGGTTTTCCAGGTCTAAGGTTTGTTTGTTTTTTATACAATACCAGCTTGGCCCTGATTGCTTAAGGTAGTCTAAAAGCCATAGCACACTTTGGCAGTCACTTGGTTTTTTTCTTCCTCTCTGGTCTCATTGGAGGTTACTTGCTAAAATATAGTCTACTACTGTACATCTTATTCAAATATCACAATGCCAGGACTCTTTAATGTGCAAGAAATATCTAACTAGCAAGCATAAGATAGGTACGGAAGGTCATCATAAAGAGTGGTTAGTAGGAAGTGAGCACCCTTACAGCAATACTCAGAGTACCCAGTTTATTTATTCAGGCAGGTAAATAACTGAATAACTGATTCCTGCCAAGAGCAGCCAGGGCAACTTGCAATTCCAGTGATGAAGAATCTTTCCTTTATATCCATGGGGCTTGGGAAATCTAGTGATGCTTCTGTAGTGCAACAGCTTTTCCTTGGGGCATGGAATACCAGCTGGCTTTAGTCTTTTGTTGCCCCCCTCAGTGTTAGCTTCCTTTGAAATAGAAAAATTAGGTATAAGATCTATGTGGTTGTTTTAATGCCTGTTTCTTAAATTTAAAAAAAAAAGTGCCTCACATCCTTTGATGCTAAAGCCAGGTTCTATAGAGGTGAATTGGAAGAAAAATAAAATAAAACTGCAAAATGAACACATTAGTAGATGTTAATGTTTTGTGGAACCTCCCCCTTTGTTCTTCTTATGCTTCTGTTTCTGTTGTACAGCTGCATGGACCACACGCCTGCTCTGAAGTTGTGGGTCACCAACATGAAGAAGGACCCCACAGTTGAAGCTCTCCTCACTGACGTGAAGACATATAAAGGCTTCTTTGATCTCTATTTTCAGAATGATCCCAATGCCTTTGACTACGGGCTGTGAGGTGGTGGGTTGGAGCACCAGCTGTAGAATCTATTGCTTTACCATTGGACATTTCCAACATATCCATACAACAAAATAATAGTGTTTGAGCTTGTCTAAGGGCTGATAATCCTTATTTTCTAAGAAGCTCTCAATAAAAATCTTAAAAATGTACTAAATGAAAGAAAACAATTTATTTTCTCCCCGTCCACCAGTCTTTAGTTTTTGTGTTGAAAAGTTTCCCCACTTTATGTGATCTTGGAGAATGCCAAGTATTGAACCCTTTAAGCAGAGAAGGCTCAGCTTGAAACTTCTTTCTCCTTGACATGTATGACCCTTTGACTCCTTCCCATCTAATTTATTCTAATACTGTATTTGAGGTTGAGAACCTTGTTGATGTGGATCATTATATACTAGATACTTTTAAAGGTGCTACTGATGAGAGAGGGTTAAAGAGGAGGAAGAGGAAGTACTCAATTGTAGGGCTTATTATGCATGTGTGTTTATATTCATGTAGGTATGTGTTTTCTGTTACCCCCTTAAAGCAAAGCTTATAGATCTTGCAGACTGCAGAGTTCTAATGACAGAGAGAACTCCCAAGCAGAAGTAACATGTTATTTTATGTTGCTGAACAAAACAAGTCCATATTTCATTGGTGTTGTCAGGGGCCAGGATGTCTGCATTAAAATATTCTTTAACAGACTTCCTGACTGAAAATATAAATGTAAAGCACATTCCAAATGCAGTCCTAGGCAAAGGTCACTCAGATGAACTTGCTTCCCAGTTAACCCTTGTTAAAAATAAATAAGGTATCCTTCAGCAGGATTCCTTTGGTATGCTGGAGATATCAGATATGGTAGTTTGCATGACCAAACTGTCAATCAGTGGCCCCATATTGAGATAAATTGAACATTATTGTCAAGAGCCAAGAGAGTGTCCACTAACCTGTCTATCAGTCAGTCATTACTCAGGACGACAGAGGGAGCTAAGAGCCCTGGGCTAGGTACCTCTACCTCTGAGTATAGTGTACAATTTGGTCTAATTTCATCTGGTGACATATTTAGTATCAGGACTATCTTGGGTTGTCTGGTTATAATTTCTGCTTTGTTGAAAGCTGACTTTTCCAACCCTTTGGTAGTTATGATGAGAAGGCTATTAGTAGCTGAGTGAAAATTTTAGCTATTTTATTCATTGACATGATTTCTCAGTATCAATCCTAGCTACTCATCTTTCTACATATATTTTTTCTATATTTTGCTGATGCTGAGTACTTTTAAAAGTGATATTAATAGTTAATAGAGAGGCAATGTTGAATTGTGGATAGAGAGCTGGTGTTGAAGTCAGAAACACTTGGGTTCAAATACCTTCTTTGACACATACTGGCTATGGATGTGTGATCCTGTCATTGAGGAACTTCATTGAGTCACTTCATTGAGACCCAGGCAACTCTAAGAATATATTCTATATACATACACCTCTGTAGGTTGGTCCCTTTCTCTGCAAATTGTGTATGTGTATGTATCTATATATATTTCTTCTACCTGCATTGGTAGAAGAAATTACCCAGAATCTCCCAGTACCAATATAATCAAAGGCTTAACACCAATCCTTCTCCTGTTCCTATCAATAGTTAAATACCTGTAAATGAGGTCTATTGTGCCTAAACAAGATCTGTGTGATGGGGGGAAGGGGGGAGGATGGCAGTCTGCTATTGCCATTGGTTCAGGTTGTGTAGCCCTATTGCTATTGTGTGAAAAGCTGATATGTAAAAGATAGGAATCATTTCCCTTAAATCTTTGGTAGGGAACAGGAGAAACTCCTATGGTCAGTCATCAGTTGTCATGGAACTGAAAGTCTCCTCTGGCAGGGTCTACAGCCAGCACAGATTCCATGTTTTGAAGTTTTTCAAAAGACCGCATAATTTGCTATTTTGTGGATTTGGAACTGTTGTTGTTCAGTCATTTAAGTTGTATCCGAGTCTTCATGATCCCCATTTGGGATATTCTTGACAAAGATACTGGAGTGGTTTGCCAGTTCCTTATCCAGCTCATTTTACAGATGAGGAACTGAGGCAAACAAGATTAAGTGACTTGCCCAGGGTCACACAATTGATCTGATGCCAGATTTGAACTCAGGAAAATGAGTCTTCCTGACTCCAAGCCCAGCACTCTATCCACTGCATTACCTAGCTGGCCAGATGTGGAACTATATGAACCCAAAGACTATTTCCCATTAAGTTCACATCAATATGATGGACATCATAAAATACGTTCCACTAGAAATGCCCAGTTCTAGGATTCTGACCATAGAAGGACTTCAAAAAAGTCACAAAGATGAATGGAGAGTTGGAAAAAATTCAGCGAGGAAAAATTAAAGGAGGAAGTGATGCTGGGAAGAGATGGGCAAAAGGAATAAAATCAGTGAAAGGCTTGTATATAGGGAGGGTGAAAACCATTATCTGTCCAAGTGATCTCAAATTTTGTCATAAGGAAGAATTTCATAGCAGTGGTCAATGTTAAATATTGGTGTCAAGAAAATGAGATTGTGTAAATTTCTTTTCAGGTACTTAAAGAAGAGGGGTTATCATCTGGGTGGAATGTTTTTTTATCAGGGTCTTACAGAAGAAAGATGTCTGGACAAGGGGGTTTCTCAAGGATCCTTCCAGCCACAAGATCCTCTGATTCTATAATAAGCTGTCTGACAATGGAAGAAAGTTGTGCAGGAAGGAAGGAGATTTGCTCCAAACTACAAGGTGTGGATTATTTCTCTCTGATTTGGGGCACCTCATGAGACTTTTTCCTTGTAGCCACTCAGGCTCCTTATTGATTATTTCTCCTCTATATCTTCACTAGGCATTGTTTTCTTTGTAAAAGTCGCCATCCTTCTTGGCACAATAATCACTTAGTGACTGTAATTAGAGAATTGAGTGTATTTTTTCAACCATTTATCTGAAGCCCTTCTAGCTCAATTTAAGCTTTCCAAGTATTTGAACCCCAGTGCTTTTACTTTGAAAGGTCTGATTTCAAAACATTTTTTAAAAGATCTATTTCTTCCCATTCTTTACAATCCACAAAATCACAGACTTTTAGAGATAGAACAAATCTCAGTGGCCATCTATGTAACAACTCATACTTAAACATGAATCCCCACTATGGCATACCCAGCCTTTGGGTATATGGTGGTACATTAACATTAAAATGACTAAAAATTTCATTGCTGGTTACAGCCTTTTCTCATGTAGGTTTGGCCAAATGGTCATCCAGCTTTTGCTTGAAGATTTCCAATGAAAGGAAATCTGCTACTGTTAGAGACAGGCCATTCCATTTGTGGATAATTCTAATTGTTTGGAAATTCTTCCCACAAACTTAAATTTATCTCATTGCAATTGCTTCCTTTTACTCCTTGTTCCACTTTCTGGGGCCATACAACAAATTTAATCCCATTTTCTCTTGTTCATAGATGCCAAGAAATCCTCTATAGTGGCCATACCTGGACTTATATAGGCCTTCCTTCTATTTGTAACCAATGGTCCAGCATTTTGGTCCAGGAATAAGAGCTTTATGGACTAGATTCAGTCTCGGGAATGTCATGCATTACTCTTGTGTCCTGCCCCTACCCATGGTTTTTCCCAAGAACTTCGGAATTTAGCTTGTACCTAGGCCTAGGTAAGAGGGTTCTCATCTCCCATGTGAACATTCTAGCTAAGAGTTCATTAAATATAGAACAATTTTTAAACCAACAGGAAAACACAGAACAGTTCAAACCAAAGCCTATAGACAGCCAAGATAAGTTTCCTTCCCTCTCTGGTGGGTCTCCATTTTCCCAATGGACTCTATCCCAGGGTTGAGCCCCACCTCTCTCCTCCAGGGAAAGAACACTTCAACTCCTCTTCCTCTGGTGAACTTCGCCTCCAGGGAATCTATGCAGTCCTCCAGAATTATAGGAATACCCTGTGGTTGAGACCACTCTCCCTTGCCAAGAAAAAGGGGCGGGGGGAAGAAGCAAGAGAATTAGGGTCAGTTGCAAGAGAATCGACTCCTTCTTCCCCTCCTGCCCCTCCTCTAACCAAATAGCTCAATGCCAATGTAGAACAAAGTTTGCATCTGCTTCTCTATGTTATGGCTCTGTCCCTTGCTGTTTCTTGGCTCTGGCTCATGGTTTGTCCTCAACTACTACTCTGAGCCCAGGAGGCTTGGTCTAGAAATTTGTCTAAGAACTCTTTGACATTCTACTCCTGCCTCTATACACTGTCATCCAATGTTGAAGCCCTGGAGGAGCCTGGCCAAGGTTCCAAGCCTCCAGGAACAAGAACTAGGGAGCAAATAGATGCCAAAAAGAGAGGGCTGTTCACAGAGACTTAAACTCATTTACCAGGAGAAGCCTGTACGTATGTAAAACCCATTTAGAGAGCTGTGTGGCCCCAGAGATAACAATGGATTGAATAAATGAATAAAAAAGGCATTTGTTAAATGCTTACTATGTGTCAAGCATCGTGCTAAGAGTTGGGAATATAAACACAAAAGTGAATATTGTCCTTACCCTCTAGGAGATTACATTTTAATAGGAGGAGACAGCACATATAAAGGAGCTGTAGTCAGAAAGAGGTATTTTGATTTGGAAAGTTACAGGAATGTGAAAGGAATAGATTGACACAGCCTTCCCATTAGCATCGATGGTATCTGATTATAGGGGCATGGTGGAGGCTGTAGTAGAGGTAGCTGGTAAGGATATGCACTAGGTATAAAGTGGAGGATGGCTAGAGGCCACCTAGCTATTAGTGGACTATATGCCCTATTTCACTAATCAAGAAAAGAGAGAAGTAGTCATGAACTAGCCAAGGTTTGTGGACAATACAAAGATTCTGTTAAGTTTCCCAGAGAGGAAAGGAGGAGTTATTGGAAAATAACACGTTCCTGGACCAAAGGGAGAATATTCATCACCAAGTAGCATCCAAAGCCAAGGAGCAGCAAGAGAGAGAGAGAGAATCATGATGTTGAGGAATAAACCCGGATGCTTCCCTTCACTAGTACTGTGAGTTACACGGACTATGCAGGTATAGGAAAAAATGTAAATTATAACCAATACTTTCCTCTTCTGAGGGGGCCTCCACCACAAGGCAAGACATTCAGTCTAGGTCTCTGGGAAAGATAGCTATAACTAGAGGGAATGACGTC